TCCGCGCTCCGCAGGGCAGTTGTCAATGTGGTACTGCATGAATTCGACGAGAGTGGGGTTGGAGCGGTTCATGATGCGGATGCACTGGCTGACAATCTCACGGTCAACAGCCTTGAGGCGGCCGAAAATAATGTCGTAGTACATGTGGAGGGCATCCTGGCGCGCCCAGTTCCAGGATGAATCGTAGGAGCGAGCCTTGAGGGAGCTGAAGACGGGCTGGATGCCGGCGGCGTAGAAGTCACCGTGCTCGGCAGTCCAGAGGTCGAGCTGGGACTGGAGGACCTTCTCGGACTCCTGGGAGTTGAGGTAGGCCTTGTCACCGGCACGGAGATCCAGCTTGAGGTATCTCGCGAGGAGCTCAAGCTGCTGCTTGAAGAGGGCGCGCTGGTCCTTGGTGAGGGCGTCGATGGCCGCGGGGTCCATCATCATGCCACCGCCAGAGCCGCCGGCGGCGGCACCAGCCTGAGGGGTGCTCAGGCTGATACCAGCAGTGACGGCGTACTTCTGGGTGACGTCGTCCAGGAAAGCCTTGGCATCAGCCTCGGATCCCAGACGAGCAGGTGGCTCCATGGTGAGAGCGAGCAGGAGAGTGCCATCCTGTCTTCCGGAAGCCAGGCCCCATCTCGTCTCGAGGTATTTTCTCGCGGCCGTGATGTTGAAGCCACCGGGCATCTTGGAGGAGATCAGGCGGGCAATAAGTGCCTGAGATTGCTTGCCAAGCTGGCCGTCGAAAGTGGCCTGCATGGAGGAACCGAGCTCGTCGAGAGGAACATCTTCGGGCTTCTCTGGTGTTGAACCGAATTCCTTGCCGAGGTCACCAAGGATTTCGTTCTGAAGGGTGGATTTGCCTGTAGAAATAGGGGATCAGCAGGTTGCTACAATGGGTAGTGGGGAGTTTTGAAAATTTCGCTACTCACCGCCAACAAGGTCCTTGATGGCCTTGCTCAAGGGAACCTCAGCCAAGGGCTTCTTGAGCTTTTGAGCAATAAGAGCTCGCAGGATGTCGATTGCCTGGACGGGGGCATCGGCAACCTGAGCGGCAGGGCCGGCGCTGGGCGCGGGGGCAGCCGCAGCAGCGGGAGCGGCAGCAGCCGCAGGGGCAGAGGAAGAAGCAGCGGCCGGCGCGCTCGATGAAGCGGCAGCTGGCTCTGGCTCCTCCTCGATGGGGTCGGCCTCGTAGTAAATTTCCTTTGCGTCCTTGTTGTAGCAGAGGATTTGACGCTGGACAGACTTGGCAGCATCGTAGGCTTCGTACTTTGAGGCGAGAGTGCGCTTGGCCATCACACCGAGGGTATCAGCGGGACCGATTTCAACCACCCTCTCGGCGGTCTTCTCGGCCAGGAAAACATCTTGGGTCTCAATCCACCGCACGGGCGAGGCGAATTGGTAGGCAAGCAGCTCCACAAGGAGAGTGTGGGCAAGCTCTTGCTCGACTTCGGGACGCATTATGAACAGCTGGGAGGAGCTGGAAAGCTCAATGACACGGAGCTGGGAGGAGAACCGAGAAATTGAGGGTATCTAGAAGTCGTCGTCGAAGTTTTGACGATTTGGAGGGGTATATGCTGTTCTGTTCGTGGGAGTCCGTGGGAGAGTCGGAATCCTGGAACAGTGTGGAATGGCGTTGGTGTCTGCGGTGAGGGTATATGTGAAGCAGACAAAGCTCGCAAGACTTTTTTTTTCTGGACAGTGGGTGGTGGCTGTTCAAGGGAGAATCAAGTCCGCGCCAGAGAGAGGGAGGGACAAACTGGCGAAGGCGAGCGAGGGAGATGTAGAAGTGGTTTGGAAGTTGGGAGGACCACGGATGAAGGGAAGATGGTTGGATTTGATTGAAAAAAAAAGAAGAGACAGGCTCAATGTTGATGGCTCTGGCCCCTCGATATCGGGTCACTGGCACTTGATTGACTTTCTTGGGGGGCGTCTACTTTGTGAGGAGAGGACACCAACTGGAAAGGGAGGGGATGGGATTGGGATTGGGAACAACAGGTCCCGTCAGGAAAAAAGATGAATGTTGAACCAGGCAAGGGCCCCCACCGGCTCAAGGAAGATGAGCAGAGTGCGTGAGAGTAGAGAGGGAGGGAGTGTGTAGTGTACTGCGTATGGAGGGTTTTCCCAATGTCGAGGTACCTCAGGTGAGGTCAGGTACAAGGTACATGCAAGTAGGTGATGGTGTACATTCACCAGGGACAACACTCATGGAAGTGAGGATGGATGGATGGATCCATGAGGTGAGGTGGACGGCCGGGGGGTAATGTCTCGAGACATTCGACTGGCCATCTTCTCTCTGTCTTTTTTTTTTTTCCTTGCTCTCTCTCTTAGCCTTCGTCCTCCAGTTCTGCCTCCCGAGGGGGTACGTAGGAGGAAAGGCGGCAGGGCCCTGGGAAAGGAACATACAAGTGGGTCCGTCTTAGCCTGCCTTGCCTCGCGATGGGAGAGCCGTGAACTTCCCGGCACCTCACGCGTTGTCCCCTTCAAGTTCCCATGTTCCCCCCATGCAGGTGGGAAGAAAGCTGCTGGCGTGTAAATTGCCTGGGAGGCGTGTGGTCACTTTTGGTTTGGTGTGTGTGTGGCTTTACCGCTGCTGGGTGCTGGGTCCTGGCTTCCATTCTTTTCTTGGGTGGTTTGGCTGCAACGCCTGGTCGGTACGTACCTCGCTGCGTCGAAAGCTCCTCAACCATATTCAGACGCTTTCCCCAATCGAGCTTGGTAGGATCAGGGGGGCTTCCCCACAAAACCATTTCATTGGGGGAATGCAGGGTGGGAACCGTGGGACGGGTGGAGCACATCTTTTTGGGAGGGACGGCAGGGAGGGCAATCCGCAATCCGTCATTGATGCCAAGTTGACGTTGGAGTTGAGGCGTGAGGCGTCACCTCTGCGAAAAAGGTTTCGGGTACGGATAGGCAACATCCATCCATCTAGGTATTCATGATCCAGCAAAAACCGGCTCATCAAGAAGACGTGATGGGGGTGTCACCGGTTTCAAGACTTCCAGCCTCACCCATCCCGATACTATCTATACATCAAACCAACCCGTACTTATTATGTGTAAGCTACCTCAACCTCACCTCTAGAGGTGATATTTGTGTTTGATCCCAAGAGCTTCTTTCTCAATTCAGATCATCGCATCCAACAACTTACAAGCCACGTAAAGCATGAACTCTTTGGGACCAAGCTTTTCTCACCATCGCATACTGATACGTAAGATATCTTGTCACCTGGCTAGACCGAAGCCAGTCAGTGCTCCTCGTCTTCCGTGCGAGTGAACGAGCAAAGTGGCAGCTGCCGCATCATCGTCCTGCATGCATTATCCACCAGTCTCAAGTGACTCCTTCCGTGCGCCTCCTCGCTATCTTATCGCTTCCCTCTATCAAACGAGGCTTTGCGCCTTGTCTCTTGTCTGCCACCTCTTCAAGCCAGCTTGTCGTGTAATGCGAAGTGCGGGTACGTGCCATGTTGCGAGGTGGGATGAGACAAGACCAAGCAAAGTAGCTGTACCTGATTTACAGCTTCACATCGCAAGGCTTGCCAGCTCTCGGGCTCTTTTCCTTGGGCTAGGCTGGCACGGCTGGGCGCTGTCGTTAGCCTCGTGTGGCGCGCATTCAATGTCTTGACTCCTTCTCGTCGTCTCTCTGCCCGACTTCTACTTCCTCGCCGTGCTCGCTGCCCTTTCCCGAGCTGCCGGAATGTTGAATTCGGGCTAGTGGCCGCCGTACCTGCCCCTCGAGTCCTCGACTCTACTTAGCGCCTGCAGCAAACGTCTAGCCCCTCGCGAGGCTCTGGGTATTGGTGATCTAAGTCTGAGACCTCCCAAGCTTCACCTCACCTTTGGCCTTGAGATGTACCCGTTCCGATGACCCTTAACTCTGATTGTGCCTCTATCAGCTCACCCTTATCGCTGCATTCCTGTTGGCTACAGTCTCTTGCGACGTTCAAAGACTACCCACACACTTCCCTTTGGAGGGGGAGAGAGCTGGAAGCTTGTTGGAGCTTTGATGCTTGGCGGGGTGTTGATACCGATGCCGATAAGAGATACGGATAGAGCTACGGCTCTTCCCAACGGCCAACGACACACACACATATAGCTCTGATGTGAGAAGTGTCATCAACGGCATGGCTTTTGTATACGTGTACATATTCAGTACGACTGCGGCAAGCTGTGGGAAAGTGGTGCCATGATAAGATGTCTTCTGCTCCGTCACCCAACGGGGATCCGGAAAGTAACAGCCGCAACTCCTCAGCAACAAGCCAAAAAAAGCCTCCATGTTGCAAGCAGAAGGCCATGGAAGAGTGGAAGGGGAAATGGGAAATGGAGGGTGAGGAGGGGCAAAAGTGGTCTCTGCTCCAGGAACCCGCCACGGTTCGATGGGGGTGTAATGTAGCGATACCTCCTTGGCGACTGGAGTTGTACTCCGTATACAGTACTCCGTAGACGACGGATTAACCCAAGCTTTTCCTGTCGAGGCTCGAATCTGCTGTTTGAGGGGCAGAAGGGGCTTGGTTTGCCTCAACTCCACCCCTGGCCAGGCCCAGGAGGACCTAATCAGTTCGAAGTTGACTAAGCTCTTGCTGACCTTTCGGTTGCGTACGACGGGTTGCTCCAGTTCTTCAGTAGACGAGCCACGAAAGGTGGGTGAAGATGCCCAGTTGATGGAAGCCTCAGTCAACAAGCCATTGTGATGCGCAACAAACCACAAAGTGCGACCTGTGTCTGACCGCTCATCACCAGGAGCATTCTTCAACCACTCAACTCAGCTCGCCCGAGCCAACCGAGAGACGTCGATGAACAATCGGAGACCGAGTGAATGAGCTCGGTGCAACACTTGTCGATATTCGAGGATTCCAGCCCTGTGCCTCATCAGTTCATGCTTAAAAGCCTGGGCTTGGCTGGGCAGCGGGCAAGCAGTATGTCTTACCGAGACGGTGCCTAGGTACAAATCTCATCGCTATTCGTTACCCCTCCACGCATGGCAAGGGAAGATACACAGGGCATTGTGGTACGCAGATGCTAGAGCTTGCATTCCTGGACGACCGACCGCCCGCCCGCGTGGGCGGCGTGGCATGGCAAAGAGATAGCTCCCGCCTCAGCAAGCCAGAGCAGCGAGTGCGGTGTGGCGGCTGGTATCGGTACATCAAACATGTACATGCCGTTCTCCCTGCCGGATCCTCGTCCTCAGGGTCCCGCGCATTTCCCATCCTCCCCAGCATCGAGCCCCAGGCGTGGGGTGAAAGCGGTGGGGAGAAGGAGACGGCAGAATATTGGATACGACGCTAGAGATGCTGACCGCCTTTCAACCGGCCAGGGAGTTGCGGGAACGTAACGGGGGGCCCGGGAGTACATTGTACTTGGTGGGATCCCGCATATCAGGATCTTTTAGGGTCCAAGTCGAAGTGGGCGACACCTTTTTTCGCAACTCCCGGTCAGCGAGGTGACTCGATACAAGGACGAGGCGAGGTTGGAAAACTTCTTTTCCTTTCCTTGCAAGAGCTGCTCCGAGAGGCAACTCGGCATCGAGCGATGTCGCGCAGCAGAACCCGAGATGGCCCGCGACGGCGCCTTAGTTTTGGGCTCGTTATCGTCCGTTTGTTGCATCCGGGGTAGCAACTCGGCATCTTATCGGCGTGCGCGACAAGTGCGATTCGCCTAGCATCAGCACTGATGTTGAAAAGTATGGTGCAAGTCCAGGCCCAAGAGCCGAAATGATGCCATTTGGCCGAGGATTCGTGCGTCCATTGATCCAGCACCTTGAAAAAGAGACGAGACCGGTCCGATGAGCTAAGAGTTGGCGGCAAAGATCCGGAGGCAAGATTGTGTAGACACGATCCGTTGTGGTTGCGGCGTTCCGCCATCATCCAAGTGTGGCTTGGGAGGGAAACTTGGGAAGAGGATACTTGGATGAGTGGAAGAGAGGTTGAAGGAGGTTGCGAGGGCATGTACCGGTACATTGGCGCCCGTTCTCCAACAGCGGAACCCTTGCGGATCACTCGGGCTGCATGAAGTCATGGAAGGGTGGAGCTGGAGGGGTGGATTGGGGTGTACGACCATCCCCAACAGAACTAAAAAATTTGGCGAGACATTGAGATTTGAGACTTTTGGAGAGATGCAAAGGCAGAAAAAGAGACGGGAGAGACGATGCTCCATACGAATGCCTACAGTACCGTGAGTACCTACCTTATACACACAGACAATTGGATTGATTGGCATTGACACACGTACCCGTAGCAATTGGTCACTTGGCCGCGCGACCAGGCAGGCACTGCTTGACGCCAGCAAACGGCCAACTGCCACCTCCCCTGTTCTTTCCGCTCTTGAATAGTGAGAGCTGTGGTGCCTCTTGCCTTGAGCCGGCAAAAGATACAAAATACGGAGTACAGGTAACGGGTACTTTCCACCCGTCAAACCGTACCTGCCTTGCAAGCGCAGTGGAAGTGAACCAGATGGGGCCACAGCGTGGCAGGGACGCAGTACGTACCTACTCAAGATGCGGTCCAACGTGCCTTTCCTCCGTCAGCCCGAACCAACTGGATTCATTCCAATCCAATGTCCCAAAATGACCCCGGCCTATTTTTTTCTAATCGTTGAGTTCCAACTCGTCTTCTCGGCGTATCGGGGCCATGTACCTGTCCCTGTCCTGGGTACATCCCCTTTCTACCCCTCGTAGACACACCAAAGTGACCCAAACTGGGCCAGATACCTCCAATTACGTTGGTGGGATTGACCTCACTCTCACGAAAAGAAAAACAGAAAAAAGGGTCGAGAAGCAGGCGGTACTTCGTACGGATACTTGGCCCAAAGGTTGGATCCATCAAATTCATCATCCACTTGAACATCCACACACCGCACACCACAGTCGATGTACCTACACACCACACCCGCCATGCTTCTCTGAGTCTCCCTCCTCAATGATGGCGTGAAAGTACCAAGTCCCGGTTCCCAATCCCACAATCCCAATCAATCCATGTCCACTTATTGAGACAGACCCGGGAAGACAGGCACACACACACACGCACACACAGACGCTCCTCACTCAACTCAACTCAACTCCCACTCCCCCAAGAAAGTCAGCAGGGACCCAGACCAGACCCGGGCCGCAGTAGAAAAAAAAGTCCAAAGGGATACACTTCAATTGCCTCGCCTTCCCATCATAACCTCGTCCAAGAACCCTCCCAACCTTCCCTTGCTCACCATCCCACTCTTCTTTAAGCTGCCATCTGCCACTCTCTTGCTCTTCCCTCCCACAACTCCACGTCAAGGACAGAACTTGCAGGCAGTCTTCTCGTTTCTTTTTCTTGTCCTTTATAGACCACCAATTGCTCTCGGATAATAGGAGAGAAAGCTCTAGACGACCACCCACGCTCAATACCTAAAGACACGACATTACTGCCGCACACTTCCTCCCCCTTCCCCCGCCATACCGGAGCATCTTGAACTAGCTGCCTCCTGCTCTTTGCTGAGTTTACGGAGTCACACACAAGGTAAGCCATCTTGCTGTTTTCCCCATCTCCCGCTGGAGAAACATCTCTGGATCGGCAGGGGAAAGAGGCGGTAAAAAACAAGCACTCCTCGGCTAACAAACGTGGCGAGCAAAGCTCCATTCATAGCACGAAAAAACTTCACACCCATTCTTGATACCCCCAAAACCGTCATCACCATGTACGGCACTGGAACAGGCCCTCAAACGGGCGTTTCTACCCCTCGATCCAACGCTTCTCTGCGACCTCTCACTCTCCGCCACGGTTCTCTCGAGACCTCCCTCCTCGTACCGACCGCCCTGCACTTCCACGCCTCTCAATTGAAGGACCGCTTCAATGCCACTCTCCCCACCGCCACAGATGAGCTTGCTCAGGATGACGAGCCTTCATCCGTTGCAGAGCTGGTCGCAAGATACATGGGCTTCGTCGCCGACGAGGTCGAGAAGGGCGAGGATGACGAGTCAGGCTCTTACGAGGAGGTTCTGAAGCTTGTCCTTAACGAGTTCGAGCGCGGCTACCTCCAAGGCAACGAGGTTCACGCCCTCGCTGCCACGCTGCCCGGCATTGACGCCAAGAAGTTGGTCGTCATCCGCAGCTACTACCAAGCCAGACAGACCACTGGTCGCTCCATCAAGGCCTACGGATCTGCGCTCTTCCGCGCATCCGATGATGGCTCCGCCGATATTTACACCATTTTCGGCGGTCAGGGCAACATCGAGGAGTACTTCGAGGAGTTGCGCGAGATCTACAAGACCTACAACCCCTTCGTCGGCGAGCTTATTTTGAACGCTGCCGAGCTCCTTCAGAACCTTTCCAAGCACCCCGAGGCTGAGAAGCTTTACCCCAAGGGCTTGGATATCATGAGATGGCTTGAGAGCGAGGACGCGACCCCCGATGTCGACTACCTCATCTCAGCGCCCGTCAGCTTCCCCTTGATTGGTCTCGTTCAGCTTGCGCACTACGAGGTCACTTGCAAGGTGTTGGGTGTTCACCCTGGTCTGCTCCGCGACCAGATCAGTGGTACGACTGGTCACTCCCAGGGCATTGTGCTCGCTGCCATCACTGCCGCTGCCGAGTCCTGGGAGTCATGGAAGGAGCTTGCCCCTTCTGCGCTCACCATTCTCTTCTGGATCGGTGCCCGCAGCCAGCAGGTGTTCCCCCGCACCTCGTTGACGCCCACCATGCTGAGAGAGTCGGCCGACAACGGCGAGGGTACACCCACACCCATGCTTAGCATCAGAGACCTCTCTCAGGCTGAGGTCCAGAAGCACATTGATGCAACCAACAAGTACCTGCCCGCCGATCGCCATATCTCCATCTCCCTGATCAACAGCCCGCGCAACCTGGTTGTCACGGGTCCTCCCATCTCCTTGTACGGTCTCAACGCGCAGCTCCGCAAGGTCAAGGCTCCCACGGGCCTGGACCAGAACCGTATCCCCCACACCCAGCGAAAGCTCCGCTTCGTTCACCGCTTCCTGCCCATCACTGCACCCTTCCACAGCAAGTATCTTGCTGAGGCCACGGAGCTCATTGACGAGGACTTGAAGAACATCAAGATCCCCTCCAAATCTCTGGGCACTGCGGTCTTCGACACCAACACTGGCAAGGATCTCCGTGAGGCCGGCGACAGCAACATTGTCCCTACCCTCATTCGTCTCATTACCAGAGACCCCGTCAACTGGGAGAAGGCCACCGTCTTCCCTCAGGCCACCCACGTCCTTGACTTTGGTCCTGGCGGTATTTCTGGTCTTGGTGTTCTCACCAGCCGAAACAAGGAGGGTACTGGTGTTCGCGTTATCCTCGCTGGCTCCGTTGATGGCTCCATCACGGAGGTCGGCTACAAGCCCGAGCTCTTTGACCGTGACGAGGAGCACGCGGTCAGATACGCCGTGGACTGGGTTAAGGAGTTCGGTCCTCGCTTGGTCACCACATCTAACGGCGATACCTACGTCGATACCAAGATGAGCAGACTTTTGGGTCTTCCTCCCATCGTCGTCGCTGGTATGACTCCTTGCACGGTCCCCTGGGACTTCGTCGCTGCCACCATGAACGCTGGCTATCACATCGAGTTGGCCGGTGGTGGCTACTTCGACCCCAACATGATGACCGCCGCTTTGCGAAAGATTGAGGGTGCCATCCCGGCTGGGCGTGGTATCGGTGTCAACTTGATCTACGTCAACCCCCGTGCCATGCAATGGCAAATCCCCATGCTCGGGAGACTCAGAGCTGAGGGTGTTCCCATTGAGGGCCTGACCATCGGCGCTGGTGTTCCTTCCGTCGAGGTTGCCCAGGAGTACATCGACACCTTGGGTCTCAAGCACATCAGCTTCAAGCCCGGCTCCGTCGACGCTATTCAAGCTGTCATCAACATCGCCAAGGCCAACCCAACCTTCCCCGTGCTTTTGCAGTGGACTGGTGGTCGTGGAGGTGGTCACCACTCTTACGAGGATTTCCACCAGCCTATTCTCACCATGTACCCTCGCATTCGTCGCCAGGAGAACATCATCCTGGTTGCTGGCAGTGGTTTCGGTGGTGCCGAGGATACCTACCCGTACCTCACTGGTGAATGGTCCAAGAGCTACGGCTACCCTCCCATGCCCTTCGACGGTACTCTCTTCGGTAGTCGCATGATGGTCGCCAAGGAGGCCAAGACCAGCCCTGCTGCCAAGCAGGCCATCATCGACGCCCCTGGTGTTGAAGACAGCGAGTGGGAGAAGTCCTACACTGGACCTACCGGTGGTGTCGTTACTGTTCTGTCTGAGATGGGCGAGCCTATTCACAAGCTTGCTACTCGTGGTGTCC